AAAACTAACAAATCCTCTGTTTCATCCCCCAACAACACATTAAAATTCCGTATTGTCAAATAATGGTACGAGATACCTCAGCTCCTCCAAACACAGTGCATGAGATGCTCCAGAATATCAGCCTTTCAGATAACTATGCCTAAAAGAGTAGAACAGCAAACTTTGCCATCCTCCTACTCAGAGGCCACTAATAATAATAAAGGCTTACTCTACAGGTCTGTTGCAGCAGATGCAGCTGGACCAGATACCCCCACCTGCGCTCCACAAAAGCTGGCAAGCTCTGTGTTTTCTTCTCTACAAACAGTAACATATGTAACATATCCAAAGGACTTTCTTCATCTGCCCTCATCACCAGCACAAGCAGCCACTACTGAAATTTGATGACTTTTCTTCAACAGGTAAGAATTGCTGATGCAACAGTATCAACAGAAGGAAATGAAAACCTACAACTTTGTGGTCAGCGATTAAGGATTGAAAGAGCACAAACAGGCTTAACTAGTTTCAATCTTTGCATCCATTTGCAGAAATCAGATGAGTTCTTAAAAGCGCAAATGAACAAGGATCAAGAACAGCGTAGTTCAAAAAGGAGACATAACTGGACAGCAACGGAAAACACATTTTCACAACAAATTCTGGTAGCACTGGTCCTCTCTGTAAAAGGAGCCCAAACAATGTTTACAAGCAGACTTCTTGAAGAGTAAAAAAAATCTCTATTTCAGCACTTGCTCACGCAGTCTCTAATTTTCAGACTAGCACAAGCAAACGCTTCCAGCTGGAGATAAGGCATCACACAGAAGACAGATACACTGTACTGAGACTGTCCAGCCAAAACGGAGAAAGACTGAAGAACTGTCACCACATAAATGGCTAGATATGTTTTTCAACTGAAGAAAGCCAGAACAGTGGTCTTGTACAGCATTTACAAAATTCAGTTATCATAAGGCTTTAACATGTTTACCAGGAAAACTATATCTGGCCTTGAGGGTTGGAAGAGAAAGCAGAAGCAGGCAAGACAGCAAGCAGACAACTTGCTGAAGGCAGCATATGGCAAAACAAGTTACCTACCAACATGAAGGAAAAAAAGTTCATAGCAATGACCTCTTTGAGGAACTGTGCTGTTTTTACACCAAAGCTAAGCAATCTTTCCAATATCAGACCTTATTTCTATGTTAAAAAAGAAAATTTATCAAATTACGTGCCAGAAAGCCCATAGACACCACAATGATTTCAGATATTGGCACATTACAGTGCAACTGCCACATACACACTTGACAGCTCTCCATGTTTTATGATATGACTCAGTGATGCATCTGAGTGAAAAGCATTCCTAGCACTGAACACAAAGCAAAACAATCCAGATAGTCATCTGTGAACTAGTCACAAGTTTTAAAGAGGAAAAAAAAAACGTTGTGAATCTGTGTCAGATACGCTGAAATGATCTTAAACTCATTGCAGGCTTACCACACTGCCATGTTTTTCTAAACAGCGTTGGCTGTAGTACTGCATGGATAACTACACCACAGTGCCTAGAATAGTCTCACGAGAGGCTCCTGGGAGATTTTTGGTAGGGTAACAGTTCTGCAATTACAGCAGCCTGCAAACACCACTCAAATATAAATATCAGCTTTGAGATGTCAGTAGTAGAGCTCCAGTCCTTCACTGATCACTCTAGGTACTACTACACTGGCTGCCTCAGAAGATCATCATGATCACCTGCTGAAATGGAAGGAAGCAAAAGCTCGCTCAGCTTAACATCCCACACAAAAATTATTCAGGAACCCACACCACAAAGCTCTTGGAGAGGTAAAAGGAGGTGGGGTGAAATAGTAAAGAACAAAACACATTCACAAGTAAGCAGTTTGCTACAGCTTAAAGATACCAGAAAAGGAACCTCAGCCACACACGGGGTAAGATTTGAGGAACACTCTCAGTTATTAAAATCATGAGTTGGCAGAGGGAGGAGCAGTTTCAGCTCACCTGTGCCTGAGCCACCAAACAGTAGTGTTGGCTGAACAAGTTCTCAGACCTGTGGAAAGCCTTATCTGCTCTACTTAAAACAGACAAACCTGTTCAAGTACCTCTGCATGAATGCTTAATCGGGGAGGTTAAACCAGTTCTTAACTACAGCCACCTTCTCTAGCACAATGGAGGAGAGTGGCCACCTGAGGTATGCATAAACTGTAATTAAGACAACTCTGTTTTCCCTTCTAAATGAGTGGTTTCCTGAGAATCATCACAGGACTTGGGAGAAAATCCAGGCAAAAACAAACAAACAAACAAAAAAAAAACCAACTTGCTCATACAACTAGTTTCACTGAGGACTAAAAAAAATTTTGCCCCTTTTTTTTTTTTTTTTGCA